CACCTTGCCAACAAAGATCCGCATAGTCAAAGCTATGGTTTTTCCAGTAGTGATGTATGGAAGTGAGAGCTGGACCATAAAGAAGGCTGACCACTGAAGAATTGATGCTTTTGAATTGTGGTGCTGGAGGAGACTCTTGAGAGTCCCCTGGACTGCAAGGAGAACAAACCTATCCATTTTGAAAGAAATCAACCCTGAGTGCTCACTGGAAGGACAGAACCTGAAGCTGAGGCTTCAATACCTTGGCCATTTCATGAGAAGAGAAGACTCCGTGGAAAAGACCCTGATGTTGGGAAAGTGTGATGGCAAGAGGAGAAGGGGATGATAGAGGACGAGATGGTTGGACAGTGTCATCGAAGCTACCCACATGAATTTGACCCAACTCCGTGAAGCAGTGGAAGACAGGAGGACCTGGTGTGCTCTGGTCCATGGGGTCATGAAGAGACGGACACGACTAAACAACTAAACAACAACAACAACCAATTCCAAATAATGCCCCATACAGCTGAAAATCAATCAATAATTTTTTTAAAAAAGGTTCATCACACAGACCTGTGGATAAGTGAACTTCAGTTATTCACAAAATTTTCATAAAGTAACATTGGATCTGTGAGTCAAAGAAAAGGATGACTCTGTATCTCCACATGTACAAAGCATTAAGTGTTCCCCCGTTAAAATTTCCCCTCAGGTTTTGAATAGTAGAATAGACTATAACAACTAGAATATAACCAAAGCTGTCCCAATTCCAGCAATAACAGAATTCCAGGAGTCTCTCCTCACACACATGTGGGATAAGGGGGCTTCATATGGGGTGCCAATTGAGTCTCCTCAGCTATAGTCCCTTGTACCTCATTCTATGGGAAGAAGTAAAAATATTAATTCATCTTTGTGGAAGAAGGGTTGCAACCTTAAACACTGAAATGAAAATTCCTTCCCTGTTCCTGAAGTTTGTTTGTTTTATTTATATGCCACCTTTCTCCTGATAAGGGGACCAAAAGTGGCTCACAATATTAAAAGGAATAGACTTAAAAACGTAAGTAAAACATTAAAAAAATTAAACTTCACAATATTAAAAGGAATAGACTTAAAAACATGAGTAAAACATTAAAGAAAATTAAACTATATGCTAATTAAAATACGGTTAAATAATTAAAAGCAAGTGAACATTGAAAACTATCAACAAGTTGTTCTCCTTGAGAGAAAGCAAATGCCCACTTTATATATTGGATGCACCCCTACCTAGATAAGAAATGTTTATTAACAACGGATAAAAATTCAGAGTTGTTCTCCTTGAGAGAAAGCAAATGCCCCCTTTACATCCAAGATATTGGATGCACCCTTACCTAGATAAGAAATGTTTATTAACAGTGGATAAAAATTCAGGTGTGAAAGGCAGCTTTGAATTGTTCTGTTTTTAACAGTTTCCTGAACATAAAGAAGGAGCCTGTAAAAAATTCAGAAAGGCAGCTTTGAATTGTTCTGTTTTTCCTTAACATAAAGAAGGAGCCTGCCATATCTTTACTGTTTTCAAGGGCAGTCCTATGTAGACAGCATTACAGTAATCTATTTTTGAAATTACCAATTGTACTGGATAGGAAATGCTAATGACAGTGGTTCATATGTTGGTAATCTTAAAAACAGACTAATGTAATGCTTTTGAAAGGCAGCTTTGAATTGTTCTGTTTTTCCTTAACATAAAGAAGGAGCCTGCCATATCTTTACTGTTTTCAAGGGCAGTCCTATGTAGACAGCATTACAGTAATCTATTTTTGAAATTACCAATTGTACTGGATAGGAAATGCTAATGACAGTGGTTCATATGTTGGTAATCTTAAAAACAGACTAATGTAATGCTTTTTACCTAGGGCTAATCTTGAAAACAGTACAAAAATTTCAGCAGGTCCAAAATGAAGCACCAGACTGATTTCTGGGATTAGTAAATTCAGTCAAATACCCCTCAGTCTTGGTGCACCTTCACTGACTCCCTGTCAGTGTCTGTGCTCAATTCAAGGTGACCTATAAAGCTCTTAAGGATTTAAATCTCAATACTTGTTGGAATGTCTCTCTCGAATAATCTGCTACTTGTTTCACTCATTCTTCTCAATCTATGATGTTAAATGTGACCACACCAAGAGTGGTCAGAAAGGTAAAGACAAGGAATTGGGCTTTCTTAGTGTTGGCCCTTATTCTCTGTAACAGGTTACCAGCGGAGATACAGCACATTCCTTCCTTATGCTCAGAAAATGGTAAAAACAGACCTATTCCATGCTGCTTTTAACTACTGAGTCTTCTGAGTGCTGTTAATATTAATGGTTTATTTTTCTTTTCCTGTTTTCTCTGTTCTCTAATAATTTTTTTTTAAAAAACTGTCATATTATTGTGGGGTCTTCAAAATGTGTAAGTTTTAACTTGCAAACTGCCCAGAGTAGTGCAAGCACTAATGGGGAGGTATATTAAATCAAATCAAATCAATCAATCCATATTGAAACTGCTAAATTAATGTCCACCTAAGAAAGCAAAAAAGGTTTCATTTCTGAGCACCTAAACTAATTTTTTTCTAGAGCACCTCCTCACAAAAGATAACACACTTATTGGACATTTTCCCACTAGGCATGAAACGTTGAGAAAATAGATTGCACTCAGTGGCACTGTTCTCAATGGATTCGTCTTGCATTATGAACGCTTCCATATGTGCAATTTATTAGAACTTATGTAGGCTCTGCTCACAAGCTTTTTTCAGGTACTGAGTGGAGGAGATTGTAGGAGGCTGCTCAGCTTCCAACTGACATAGATCGGTTTGAATGTCAGAACTGATACATACATAGGACTTGCGTCTGATGTTGAAACAAGTCAGAAGGCATCAGCTGACATGATGCATAAATTTGGTCTAGAATGGTGGAATATCTCCAACAGGCTACAGATTTGGGTAAATTTCAGGGACTAGGAACGGAGCTGAAGACATGAAGTTATCCCCACCCTCTGTCTTTGTATGTTCTTTTCTGCATAGATAAAGACATGAAGAAGGATCAGTGATTTATAAGCAGAATATTAAATGTCATATGGAGAACCTTGCACACAGGATAGAAGACAACCTCTAGAGAGCCAAATAAAGGTGTGAACACAAGTGAATCACAAGTAAATTACCCATGTTTCCAGCCAAGCTATGCTATGCCTCACCAAAAATCATCATCAACAACAAAAATCTGTGACATCTTTGAAAACACATGGCAAAATAATTCATGGACCAGAATTCATCCCACCGAAAAGTAAGCCCCCCCCCCCGCTGCAGCAAAACTAACAGTCTCGCAGCTGACAATTACTGGAGATAAGATTTAATGGACTGTAGCCCACGTTTTCTCCAGTTGCCTGATGCATCTGAAGAAGTGGGCAACCGTCCAGGAAAGCTTGAGCCAAAGAAGACTTATTAGTCTTCAAGGTGCTGCAAGAGGCGGTTGGTTTTCCTGCAACATCCGAGGGCGTAACGGGACTGTCCCTCTCGAAAGGAAGCGTACCAAGGTTGCTGACAGGCTCATGTTAGTTAGGGTAACTTCCTTCCAGGTGCCTTCGGTGGCCCCGGACTAATGCTGCCACCGCTCTGGAAGGAATGATGGAGGCAGGGAGGGAAGGAGGCAGGGTGGGTCGGAGGGTCACAGGTAGGGGAGGGCGGGTGTGGTAGGGAATGGCGGGGCGGCTACCTCCATGCCCAGCTTCTGCTTCAGCACCAGGGCGGCGCACAGGTAGCCGGCGCGGCCCACGAAGAGCTCGTCGGAGCCGCACTCGAGGAAGGTGAGAGGGACGCACAGGTCGCACAGCGCGCGAAACTTGCCCAGCGACCGGGCCCAGTCCGGCAGCCCCAGCGCCTGGTAGACCAGCGTGGCCACGGCGTAGACGCCGGCGCCGCCGAGCAGGAAGGCGGCGCGGGTGTCGGCGTCGGCTTCGCCCCAGTCCTCCTCGTAGCGCACGCAGGCGTCCACCAGCCGCTTGGCCGCCCGCAGGTAAGACTCCCGCTCCGGGGCGAAGAGCGGGCACTGCGCGACGTGGTAAAGCATGTAGGCCACGCCGGCCACGCCGCCGTACAGGCTGCCCTGGCAGCCGCCCAGGCCGCTCGCCGCCTCGTGGCCGCCCAGCTCGGGCACCTCCTTGAGGATGCGGTCGATGGTGGCCGCCACCAAGGGCATCACCGCCTCCTTGCACTGCCCGGCCAGCAGGCTGCCCTTGTAGTCGTCGAAGCGGTTGGGGAAGCAGCGCTTGCTGTCCATGCCGGCGGGTGGGCGAGGCGCTTGCCAGAGACCAGAGCCGAGCCGGGCTCCCGCGCAAGTACGCGCGTCTTAGGCCTGCCGAGAGATGCGCTCTTGAGAAGCCGCCCGGTTCCTCTGTCGCTGGGAGGCTGGCTGCCCCGGCTGCCCGAGAAGCCGAGACCTTTGGAGGAGATGTGCCCGGCGCCGGTTCCTCTCTCGCGGCTTACTCGAGCAGTGAAATGCGAAGCTAGAGGGCAAGGCAAGGCACTCTCAGAGGTCCTGCCGCTCTTCCCTCAGTCCGGGGCCGGGCTGCTGCTTCACCCCAGAACGTTTTGCGTCGCCTCTCCTTCTCCCGCGCCCTCCCATTTCGGCTGACCTGCCTACCGAGTGCGACAGCCCCCGCCTCCTTTTGCTGCCGGTTCTTCGGTGGTGTGAAGAAGAAGAGGCAGGCGCGTTTCCC